TATATATATATATATATATATATAAAACTTGCTAACATACTACATATGCCACTGTCCAGGAGGCTGTCATGTGCCCCTTTGCTAGTGCCCAGAAGATATGGGCTCCCAAGGGATTCTTCCTACTTCTTCTGGGGCTTCCCAGCTCTCCTCTTCAGCTCATACCTCCTTGCATAACAGACAGGCCCCCCCCCCGCACCCCCTGTTCAGACAATGTGCAGCTCTGGCCGAAGCTCCATTTACCCTCAAATTTACCCTGGGTCAGGATGAACACCCACCACTCTGAAGAAGACACAGTGAAGCCAAAGTATACCAGAGACACCGAAGAGTGTTATAAAGAACCCGAGCAGTGACGCCACCAGGGCACGTGAAGGGGCTCTCTGAAGCAGGATATGCCATGGGAAATGTGTCCCCAAAATGGTGACTATTGCTTTACCTGTCACACAAGGCAATCAAGTTGAAAGAGGCTTTTTGACATGATTTTAGACATCAAAACAGATGGATGCTATGACCACATAAGGTACCAGAGGAAACTGAATACAAATGCACTGTTTCATAGACAATAGTGTCCTTGGTTTCCAGGAACTCTGTGTTCGAGACTTATGTTTACCGTGCTCAGACAAGGAGGCCCTTCCTCCAACCCAGTGCCATCACAGCAGGCAGTGGCCCTTGAATGAGCTTAAAGCAAGTGCTGTATTCCTTGTTTCTTCTCCCATGAAATTCAGTCTAATTCCAAGCCCCAAACAACTCTTCTACTAGTTCTGTTTGCAGGGGGCCTTGGCTCCTGGAAACACCTGCTTTGAGTTCAAGCTATGTTAGGAGCACCAGAAGTGAGGAAGGAGATAAAAAGGAAGAGGTAGAGAGAAAGAATTGGGGAGGAGGAAATTAATGGAGAAAGGAGGAAGAGGCAGGGATGGAATTAACCTGCAAGGGGGGGAGCAGAAGGGAAGAAAAGAGATGTTATCAGATCATAGGGGAGTGTCCTGCCTATAAAAAAAAACTAAGAATGATTAACTTTTCTAATTAGATATTTTTTTCTTGATGTAGCTTAAATCACAGAGCTCTAAAGTTTAAATATTTTTTACTTGGTTTTCCTTAATGGCATCATCACTGGCATAAGGATATGTTTTTCTCAGAAGCTTAAGAAAATGAAGTCACCAATTCAAATTAACACATTAGTTTGCCTGTTTATATTTATTCTAAAAATCACCCATTGTGAGCATGTGTGTGTGTGTTTACTAGACACACTGTAAGATCATTAATGTTGTCCATAAGCAGGTCTTTGCTTAGTCACGTCCAATTGCAGGTACAGGAAGAATCCACAGAGCCATGCTCACCAGCGTAGTGAACAGCAGTCTGCCATTTCCTAAACTGAATTTAATGCATTTTTATTAAAGTCATTACAGTCTGAGGAAAGATTTTCATCTTTCAGCGTCATAAATGTAGAAAATAGAAAAAAAATTAGGTTGACTGAATATTGACCCAAAGGCACTTCCTCAAACAAAACAAAACCAGAGAAATCTCTCTAGATAATGCCTTTCAAACTGTTTGCTTTGGGTGGTGGAAATATATCCAGAGATCAATGAGGGGTTGAAAGCATTTTGTCTAAACTATTTGTTTATCCTTCAATGGGTAGAGAGTTTTAGAGTCTTTAAACTAGAAAGGGGATGTAAAAGCTGCCCCAAGGCTGCACAGTTGATGTTCATATTAGTGATGGGCATTCATATTGTTGGCAGCAGCTGATGGCTGCTCCTTCCTGTCTATTCTGGAGATATCAGTGCTGGATTACAGACACAGAAAGGGGATAAAACCAAGGTAGGGGACTGTGATCTGTTGCAGGCACAGAGGGTCATGGGGACATAGCACTTATTCCTAGATCTTATGGGGAGGACCACCCTGACAACCAGAGAAAGAGTAACTCATGAAACAGATGAAGGGACTTCACCAAGGTGGCAGAAAAGAGAAACCTGTTCCAGATTGTTTGACCTGGGCCATGTATTTCTTGATAAATCTCATAGACTTGCTCAGATTCCTCATCATTTTTGTCAAATTTGTAAGTGAAAACTCCTTACCTTGATGATCACACAGGATATCCAGAGTCTGTCTTCCTCTGATGATGGGACAAGTCTGAGCAGTGGTCTTGAGGTCACCATGGTGCCCACTGAGTGCCCACACCCATCAACACAAGTTGGAAACATGCACATCCCATGAGCTGCAAATAAAGCCATCACCTCAGGAGACAATGAACAAATTGTGTTTTATTTCTTTACAAATTTATAGCCAAGACAATAAATCACTCCATAGAAAAATTTAAAACAAAATACATTGTTGTGATCTTCATAACAGATGGAGTAGTTAGTAAAAGAGTGAAAACTGCCTGCTGGGATGTCAGATTGCAGCATTTTGTCAGGCTTGATGAAAGAGAAAGTCCAGCGTTGGTAATGGAGTGGGACAACTACCAAAGGCTCCTTTTCCTCAGACTCAGATGGTTTTTCTGAACAATCAAGAGAGATGAGCTTAGTGGCCAGGTCTCCCCTAAGTTTAGCTACCATTGAAGAATGTATAATTCATAGGGTTTTTGTTTGTTTTTGGGGGGACTTGTTTATTTGGATCCAAGACTAACCAATTGCATTTTTACCATGACAACTTCAACCTAGATCCAGATAATCACCTCTAATATTTATACAGATGCTCTGTGTGACAATGGCTGTAAACCCATGTCATTAAATGTCTCCTTAAACCCTCACGATGATTCTTGTTGGGTCCCACATTATCCAAATAAGTCCAGGGTACACCCACTCACCCACCCCTCCCCTGTGTCATTTTCCTGGAAAAGAGAAAAGGGATCCTGGGATTCTGATCACCTCTCCCCATATGTCTGACCAATCATATCTACAACATATTTTTGTATCTATATGAAATTTTTTGTTGTGAGAGACACCTATTGGCAGATAGCTATAGAGAAGAGTAGACTGAATCAGATTGAAATCTTAAGTTAACTTTTGCTTATTGCCCGTGTTGTCCTGGGTCATTCCCTTATCCTTTCTGTATTTCCATTCTCATCTTTGAAGGCAGAAGAATTTCATTTCTTTTTCCTTCTTAAGTCTTAAGGAGGTTCTGAAGACGCAGGAGAAAATGCAGCAGATTTCCCAGGGATAGAAGCCAGCCAAAAGCACAGAAGGGAGATAGGATCATTCTAATGTTGAGAAAGAAAGTAAATGGATTAGTGGTGGTGTGATTGTGAACTTACCGCCCTAGAGCTCCTGCCACAATTGCCAGCTGCTCCCTATGACTGAGCTGGGTCTCTGGGTGTGAGCGGGTCCTGGCCAACTGAGTTGAACAGTCACTCACCTCTTGGTAGCCTTGAAGTTTCTGTCTGTCTGCAGAATCTTCTCCCTAACTTTCTCTCCTTCCAGAGAGGGATCATTGGACCCCTGTTATTGAAAACAGCCAGAGTGCTGTACAAGAAAGGTGCTATAATAAGGTCTAATAACTATTCACGCTGTCTAATTATCGCATGCTATGCTTTTCCTATTTTACAAGCTGTAGAATAATTTCCTACCTCTAAGATGCATTGAGCATGGACAAACAGGAAAGAACAACACAGCTGGGAAAATGCTGATGGAGAAAAGCTACTGTTTCATGGCACATATGAAATCAATCCCCATTTTTTATTCTAAGTGTTTCACTGCCTAGATGTTTGGAGCTGAAGTTTTACTAATAAATGTGCTATCAATATATGCCATAGTAACTCTAGCTGAGCTTACCAGGTTTAGGAAAATTCTTTACCATGTCCTGAAGCTAGGCATTCCAGAAGCAAGAGCTCAGAATATTTTCAGGGCCAGGGGATAAGTCTGAGCTCTTTTTTATGTTTTGTGATCCACACAGATAAAGATATTCTGGGGGTAATACATGAATATGAATGGACATATAAAATCATTTACTTCTGTTGGAGAAGTAATTTTGCAATGTAATAAAGATAATATTTTAGAAACAACTGAAAACAGTCAAATTCTTTAAGTAATTTGTCTTTCTTCACTCATGAAAATAAAACATTAAATATGGTGCCTTCAGAGGAAATTTCTCTGATAATCAATGAAATGATCCACGTTTTCTTTGTTGGCAGACATATCACTAACCATTTGTTAAACAAGCAGTTGTGCGCTGACCATTTTTATGCCTAGAAATATGAAAGAAAGTCTTTAAAATCGAGATAAACATATTTCAAAAACAAGAAAATGCTGTATCTGGATGAGACCAAGAGGGTACCATGATCCCTTGCAGACTGACCTGGGAGGACCAGCTTCCCTGGGTCTTGAGGACCCCTTCCGAGCTGTCAGTCTCTCATCAGAACTGAAAGGTGTCTACATTTTGCTCAGAGCATGCCAATCAAACTAGTCCCTTAGAAAAACAAATCAAGTCTAAATGAAATTATGCTGCAGTTAAGTGAGAAGTTAAAAACAAAATGTAAACACAATTCTCACAATAAATATTCATATACCTAATTCTGACTACTCTCTTACCTTGAGTAGTATGATAAGGGATGGCAAAAGTTTAATTTGACCATTGGGTATTCTTGCAACTCAAACGCGTATACCACTTTCCATGATATGAAATACCACATGGTGCTTACTGCTTGGGCCACATCAACAGGAATCCTTTCCCAGTACCTGTGATAAGTCTTATCTCCATTTCCCTTTGATAAGCCTAACCCTGTTTCACCCATCACTTTAATCACCAGGTTGTCCACTCATTTTTCAATCACCGTGTTTCAACAGAGGCACGCATGATTGATTCCTGCCCCCCTCCCAATATATTTTGAGCTTACCAACTCCGGAATTTTGTTATGTCAAAATACTTTTTTCTACTTCACGTTCTCTTAAGGTGATTTTTAACCTGGAACTTGTAGTAATAACCATCTTTTAGTAAAAGGAGATCACATTTGGAAAGAACAACCAACCCAAGGAAATAGAAGGAAGAAGTCCTTTTTACGTGTGTTTCTTTTTAATATTAAGTTGTCTTTCCTGCTGCAGTAGAAGCAATTTTGCCATAACAGAGTTTTTAGCCTGTCATGTAAAGATGTTTAGACTGAGAGAACTTTCTTGTCTTTGGGATACTGTTTAACTCAAAGGTTTTCTTCAATTTTAAATATGCCATTAGTAAAATTATTTCTCAGTAACCCAAAAATAACCAAAGAGGAAATTTTTTAAATTATGTAGGAGATAAAAAGAAGGGAAATGGGTGAAGTAGTGGGAGAAGTGGCTGAACCTGGAGCCCCATAAAGGATGAGCACTTTGGGGGATTGGAGCAACTCTCGATTACAGCAGGAAATCCTGAGGATGAGGTCTGATACGTCAACTATACGTGAGTTATTGTATGTGCATTTTTAGCACTTTATTTAGCCACCCAATATGCAGATGTGCTCCTACTTCAAGAAAATCAGGCAAACAAAAATCCAACGATATAAGCACAGTAATTTAGTAGTTATTTTATAAAATACATGCTCATTTAATAGAATTTACTATTTGGTGCTTTTAAAGAACAGGCACTTTTTAAAAACATGACTCAATTCAGAAAAACAAAACACAAAAAAAAATTTTTGAACACGTTTTTGGAAGACCTGTGAGAATCAGCCACATTCTGCTCTCTTGACATTTCAGCAGGCCTGGGCCATGGCTCGTTTGCTCAAGGCTAATTGCAACTGTCTAGATCTGTAACAAAGGCTTTCCTGGATGACCTTTAAGAATTACAGTTAAGTAAAGCTCCCCTCTGAGATACCAGCTATTCAATAAATTTTACGTTTGGAAGATAGGTTATTTGAAGCTTATTGTCAGTGTGCCAACAATACTCTATTCTAGATGGAAACCTGTAGTCTTACAGGCTTTGTCATTTCAGGTTCTTGTCATTGTGGCAAATGCATTTGTTTTGCTGAAGAATGGTATATTTCGGGGGAACTCTGCGACTGTGATGACAGAGACTGCGACAAGCATGACGGTCTCATTTGCACAGGTGCAGTATTGGCCTACTCTAATTGTTTTATGCCACCGTTTGCAATAAAGCCAATGACACCCAGCACACCATGCTTCCCGTGGCTGGACAGGACAGCTTCCATGTAATCAAGGGCCAACTCTTAATGTGAAGTAAATATGAAAGGAAGGTGAGCATTTGGGAATAAGCGCTAACATTATTCCCAGGCACAGAAGAATACCAAAGAATTAAGCCAAATTATAGGACTGTTGGGAAACCTCCGCAAAGTAAGTTGCCCCCCAAACTCACACACAGGTAGTTATATATTAAAAGAAAGATTCTCTTGACAACCATTTTACTTTGAGTATGGTGTAGGGAATGGAATATTATCTTAAAGAGGATCCAGGAACCAGTAGTTGATGTCTTCATTGTTTTCAGGGAACTGGATGAGTGTATGTATGTGGGAGAGAGATGAGGGAAAAGAATAAAAAACGCATAGTGGTGTAATAGCCACTGCTATCCTAATTATTTAGTCCTAGTAATTTGTTATAAAATTACTTCAATGCATTATAGGGAAAGAGAGACATGTATATTTTCTCTCCTCATTTCTAGCTGAAGGTAAAAGATGAATATTTGTGTGTGTCATACGTTAGGCATACATTTTCTGTTCTAATCTACTACACAAGACTCCTCTTCCAGCTGATTACTTGGTTATTATGTCAAGGAGCTTTATGATTCTCAGCATTTATTCATAAGCTAGACGTAACTTGCTCTCTAAGGGAAAACAAAATTGTGACATGGAAGCCTAGCTGGAGTGGAACAGGATGGTTACTATTTGATTCATAGACGGTGGCACCAAACAGAGTAATTGTTTGAAAAATCAGATTTCTCACAGCTGCTTGATAAGAAGTAATAATAAGATCACTGCACAAGAAGAAAATCTACAGAAGATGAATGAAGTGGTTTTATTATAGACAGTTACTGTTTGTGATAGCATGTTCCAGTAATGACCGTGATGACCATTTGTGTTTTATTTCAGGGAATGGAATATGTAGCTGTGGGAACTGTGAATGCTGGGATGGATGGAACGGAAATGCATGTGAAATCTGGCTTGGCACCGAATATCCTTAACGACTACATGGGAGAGGACTGGATTCTTATTTTCCAGACCATTAGAACAAATAAATGCAAAAGAAACCATGTATAATCACCACTAGGACAGGTTAAACAGGCTATTGTATGTTTTTCCATTTCTGAATGCCTGAATGAAATCTGGGTACCCATTAGAAATGAGTTAAGCAAACTCTGATTGAAGTAACACAGAAAGAATTTTTCTTCCATAATCAAAATCACTGGTTCTCAATGAGGGCAATTTTGCCACCCAGAAGACATTTAGCAACATCTACAGACACTTTTGATTGTTGCACTGGGTGGGGTGGAAGAGTGTGCTATGGGCATCTAGTGGGCAGAGGCCAGGGAGGCTGCTAAATATCCCACACTGCACAGATGGCCCCCACCACAAAGAATTATCTGACTCCAAATGGTGCCAGCGTTGAGAAATGCTGAATTACAAGGTTGTTAGAAATCCACACACAAGAAAGACCATATTAGAATCTAAGAAAAAGATGTATCCTCATTTGTCAATAAGATTTTTCCTGGCTTCCATATGATTCAGTATTGTCAGATAGTGACAATGAATATAAACACACATGAGGTATTATGTCAGGTTGGAGGCAGGGGGAAGTTATGCCACCAGATCATGCTTCAGAAGGGAAAAGACTGGTCATTTTTAGCCATTAAGTCATTTGTCTAATCTCACTTTAAACTGACAAAAGAAGATTATCTTAAGATAAAGGAAGAAATTATGAAAAATGTACAATTTAACATTTTTAATAAATAGTGACATAAGTTGTTTATACTCTGTGTCAATATATATTTACCTACTAATAATTAACAGCAAAAAATGACTTGTTATTCAAGGATATCTGTTTTAGGTTCCTAGAATTAAGGGATTACATTTTAAAAACTGGACAGGAATTACATGTACAGAAATCTGATTTCTCACTATTTAAATTATTCCATGTTAATGGGATCCTTTGAAAAAAACATTATCTAGTTAAATATGTGATGGATCTGAGATATGCATCAATTTCCCTTAAAGAACTCTCTTTTTTCTAAGGATACATTATTTACTAGAAATGTAGGGTCCTACAAAGAAGTAGAGAGGAGATACTGTGACAAAGTCTTACCAATTTAAAAAGCTCAGAAGAGGACCAAAAAAATCTAGAAATGGCTTAAATAGAAATTAAAAATATTCACTCAGTGATAGGAACAAAATTTTTATTTTCTTAATGGTGAAACTTTGCTCTGTATGAAATTCACATTGAATTATGAAAATGTACAATAATAGGGACTTCCCTTATGTATTTACAGTTAAATCTACTTACACACATCAGTTTAAGCGACCTTTAATTATTTAAAGCTAAAAAAACCCAAAAAAACACTGTTTTTTCTAAATGTGAATTCTTTTGTAAAATCCTAGAATAATGTAGCAAAATCATTTCCATATTGTTTTAAGATGAAAGTTTTTACTTGGAAATTTTATTTTAATGATGTAAATATTCTAGAGTCATGGCTTAAACTTTGTAAGTCAAATCACCCAAAATAAGGAAAATATGCATCCTCTGAATTACATAAAAATTTAATATTGAAAATTATTTTAAGAGAAAATTTAACTGATGCTGATTTTCATAGTACTAATAATGTTTTCATAATTTAATAGATGTATAAAATTGTTTTCTATCCTGAGATTTAGGAGTGTGACCATATTAGCTGTATCTTTATTATTGAGTATGTCAATTGATAAATCAGTTTTGTAAAATAAGGGAAATATAATTAGTCAAGAAATAATATAGATTATATTTTTTCCTCTAGCTAAACATTTTAAGCCTCAGACAAGCCTGTTATAATTGTTCAGCCGCAATTTTAATGACATGTGATGATGCACAGACACTGGAATTCATTACATTTTCCAATCATCGTAACACAAATGACTTTCTGATTCCCCTATTGCAGCATCCACATTTTTATAAAAGACCATGTAGTAAATATTTTAGACTTTGTGGGCCATATACATCTCTGTCCCATATTCTTGTTTATTTGTGTTTTTTACAAATGTATTCAGATCCCCATGACGGCCAATGCCAAAAAGAAAAAGAAAAAAATACTTAACTTTAAAAAATAAAAATTCAATCTGAGCCCCCAGGCCATACAAAAACACATTGAGGGCTGGTTTGGGCTCATAGCTGGGCAGAATTTTGCCAACTTCTTCTCCACAGGAACTGCCCTTAATTCTCTGTTTCCTCACATAACTTGAGGTGTGTATTATTTTTCATAATTCTATGTACTAGTATACTTTAAATAATTCATGGAAAGATTCATATTATCTTTTGATTCTACTTTTCCATGAACTTTTTGAAGTACCTTCGTATGTTGTTATCCCTTTTCATTAACAACAAAATTGCTGCTCTTTTTATATTTTCATATAAGAGAAGTGTCAACAATATCCTCAGCATTTATGTTTTCTCAGAAAAAGAGGTTAGATATTAAAGAAATTATTATACTATAGAGCTCAAATGTGATTTGTCTAAATTTTTGGACAAAGATGAAAATATGTCATAGCCAGCTATGTTCTGGGGTTCTCTTAGTTACAAATTATAGAATCAAAAATGAATTATAGCATAAGTCACATGGTACCTAAACTCTAACAAATGATTTTTGCTTGAAAACAGAAATATTTTATTTTTACTTCTTTCTGTCTGCTATGTTTCTTTTGTGTGTATGTGTGTTTGTGTGTGTGTGTAATTTTTGATTCTAGCAATGCAAACATCAATATATCTATTAAGAAGTGATTGCATTTACATGTTTTAGACAGAAAATATACAATAAAATTAATTGCATTTATTTAAAGACATAAAGTCTACTCTTAAATATGATTTTGTACTTTGACTTTTGACTCCATTACTAATATAGAAACTCCTTCTAAAAAAAGGCAGGGCAAGAATGCTTTGTAGTGGGTGAGAGAAAATAAGCGAATTTTATTGGCTTGTTCAGATTTTTAGGAAGTTACAGTGAGATTAATGGCAACTGGAAAGGATGCAGTGAGTTTACAGATGGTGTTGGCACCATCCCTGTCTGTCCAGCAAACCATCACTGAGGAATTCCTCCACAGGACTTTTCCAAAAAAAGCCTCTGTCCTAAGATGTAAGAGGAGAATCATAATACCTATTGCCTTTCTGGGCTCCTTAAGCTTATCTAGATTCCAGCAACACACTGGAAGAAATGGCCTCCACCACCTCAAATGCAAAAGTAATGGCAGCAGACATTGAAATTAGACTGAATAGAAACCGAGAAGAAAACAAAACCAAAATATAACTCAGCCTTAGTTTTTAAACTCAACTATCAAAACTCTGAAGCCCTACTTAGGATTCAAGAGAGACAACAGGACCTGTGTGTCAGCATGTAAGATAAGAAACCCAAGCTATGAAATGTATTTTACTCCAAAGGAACAATTTACCTTCTTGATTCTGATATGCCTGCATTTTGGAAAATAATTGAGCATTTAATCAATCTGGTATCTCTTTGGGGAAGTATCAAATATTAATTATCCCTATAATATTACAGAGGAAACTTTAGATGAAGTGATACGTCTCTAACTTAAAGAAAAAGTTGTTTTTTGTTTGTTTATTTTTTAAAGAAACTGAAATCTGATGGTCATCCTGAAAAAAACAACTGTTTCAGTGCTTCAGGCATTAATTAAGCAAGTGGTCAGTTGTAATATAGAAACTCAGCTTCCTCTCCAAAAGGCAGACAGTTAGACGGACTGCGCAGGAGTCTTTCGGGCCCACTGTGGAGCTCCTTAAGCCACCCCAACCCCGAAACACTTAGGACAAGCAAACATTTCGAGCAAGAACCTCTAAATTCTCCAAGATTCATATGAAATAATGCTCAGTTCCATTTTACTCTTTAAATAGAGTGGACCATTTCCATGTTTTCTATAATTTCTCCAAGTGAAGTAGTAGCAAAATACTTTAGAAAGTAAGCTTATTAGAAAACAAGAATGTTGTCACTTGAAATAAAACAATTAATGTTTCCAAGCATTGTTGAGGGATGAGCAAAGCAATCAGCTACCATAACAAATCAGTGGAAATAACCCTCCCCCACCAGAAATGCATGCAGAAGGAATGGGATATTATAGAGACTTGATACAGTGGACATATGTACACGGAGATACAAAACACACAATCTGTGAATACAAATGAATTCCATCAGATTTACTATACAGAACACCAATAGTGACAGATTGCACTTACTGAATAACAGCAAATGTAATTTCTGTGGGAAAAAAAATAGTGAAGTCTTATCCCAGAAGAATAGCAAGAGAGGTATCATCAAAGAGCTAAAATTTTCTTTGGCATGGTAAGGGGGAAAATTGAGTTTACCAACTTATTTACATGACAATTCTCTATATTTGTGTGTGATGCAATGCCGTTTTGTTACATAAAGTTGTTTGATGTTTTTTAATATGCTTTCATATAAATATTTTATTCAATATGTTGTATTTGTCAAATACAACAAATGATATTAAACACAGAAACTGTACAATGCAGACAAACTCTTGGTATGTAAATTGAGTAATACATACTAACAGTTCTTGATACACATGTCCTACCACATGCAGTTCGTGAGTGCTGCCCTCTTCCCATGCAACAGGTGAGACCAGACACAAAGGAAATGAGCTAACTAAATTACACACAAGGACCTCTCAGCAATGTGTCTAAACGTATATTAGAAGAAAGTATTTTGACATCCATTCATAGGGATTAATGCCCTTAGAGACAACCCATATAAAAAACAAAACAGAGGTGCACATTTACATAAATCTCAGTAATTTACAAAAATAAATCTTGTCTTAATTTCAACCAATAAACAGGCTTGCAGGAGAGAAAGAAACCAGCAAGCAGGGCTGATTATCAAATACAAATAGTTGGGTTTGTTAGGTGTGTGTGTGTGTGTGTGTGTGTGTGTGTGCGCACGCGCGTGTGCGCGCGCACATGTAGTGGTGTGTGTATAAGCCCATCTAATTGGATTTACAAGTTAAATTATTCTTAGGTTGCCACTTATTATGGGATATGTGTCTTCCCTAAATAGTTAATGTAGTTTGTCTAAAATATTTTAAATTATCCTGTTAAAAACAATAGGCTTTAAAATGGCATAACCTCAAATCAATAATGGTGAAAGGGATCATTTTATTGTATCTGTAATTTAGCATTATTGACAGTAAATCTATTCAAATGTTATGCTAATTTTTATTTATTAAAATGGAATCCAATATGAAAATGAAATAAGCATAAACACTTAAATTTATACTAAACCTTTAATCTGCTAAGCACACCAAAATTTTTAAATGCCGGGCAAGGGCTATCATGGAGATTTATAAAAGCAGTGACAAAATAATTTCCCAGTAACTACAGTGCAGATGGGGAAAAATGGCAACGGGGTCATCCTTCCACATGGAGATAGTAACAAGAGGCCAGTACATTGATCCCACAAATAGTTTTCTATAAATGAGGTTCAGTTTGGTCTCCATGAACTCTTCTGAGAAGAAAACATTGAATTTTATTAAGTGTACACAGAATTAACAAATATATTTCCAAACAGTTTAATATTAAACATTTTGAAGCTCTTTATATCCAATATTGAACATTTTGCATGGAATCTCCACTGCGTAGTCAACTATTCCTGACATTTCTTAGCAGTTGACTTCCCTAAGCTCAGTTCAGCAGTATTAAATTTAAAAGGAAGTTAAGAAAGCAAAATAAAACAAAAGCAAATTGGAATGAACCAACATCGTGATGTTCAAATGTGTTGGTTTGCCTTTTATTTTTACCTAGGGTGATTCAACAGACTGTATTCTGAGATCATGGCAAGGCACCTCTAACACAGCCACTGGGCAATACGGGCCCCAGAGAACTGAGTTAGAGGTATGTACTGGTGAAATACACAGTACTGGACTCAGCATGCTGAGCTAAAAAAAAAAATATTTTTTTCTAATATGTCCAGTTTAAAAACTTGTCATTAAACACCAAAAATATTAAAGTCTAATTTATAACTAACATTTGCATTGCTGCTGCAGAAAGGAACACAACAGCCGCCCTGCCCATGCCCTGCTGAGTATGAGTGGAACGCAGCCAAAAAAGGGATGACGTTAAGTTCGAGTCATTAAAAACAGGAAGGACTACATCTGAAATGGATTTAGGTAGCGCAATTCTTGTAGGTCAGAATTATTGATTTTTCTTCTTGTTTTTTTCCTTTTTTCCAAATAATGAGGGTTAATAGATGAAAAATGAACCTTAATCAGGCCTACAAGGCCTACAGAATTCTTTGGACCCACTTTCTCAAAAACCAGTGGGTCTTGCTCGCTGGGCAAGGCAAATGTTACCATTACCAGTAAGCTTGTGATATGTATAAAACACACACACACACACACACACACACACACACAAACTATAGGGGGATGTCAAACACGTATCATAGAGAACTTCCCATAGATTGTGTTTGACCCACTTCCCACACAGGCAATGCCGACCTCGGGAGCATGGTAGCTGCTACTGGATAGAGCGTATATGTGTGTTTAATCGATAGTGCGAGCCAGAGACAACAATCTTAATCTTTATAGATGCAATTTGTAATAATAGGTCTAGAAGGCTTCCTGATTCCCTGATTGCTCTCCGAACTAAGCCAACTGCAACATTTAAGATTTAGAGGAACACAATCCCTGCAAAAGGTCACAGACAGTGGAGCGAGCAGCCCTGTAAAAACGGGAAGAAGAGAAATCCATAATAGCACAGGTTTACAGCGTCTAACTAGAAATTACTCAGTATTATTTGTGTGCTACAAAATTGAACTGAAACACATGGATTTCGCTGAAACAGGACTCAAAAAGGATTATGGGGAGCTGTCAGCAGGCAAGGTATCGAGTGTACTTGTGAAGTATGTCATTCACATGAAGTCACAGTCACAGAAAAGATATTAAAAAGGCATTCCATATCTGGGAGGGCATTCCATGGTCTGAGTTTAGCTGGTTGTCCAGTGTCTTCTTGTTGTGGGGGGTGCAACAGGTTGAGATTTATCCGCTTGCAACAAAGAAGTTTCGAGACAGCAAGGAGCCAGCGTCAGCTCACTTCCAGCTGCTCTTCAGCCATGGGAGCAGGAATGTCTGGAGAGGATAAATCACTCAACTGTGCTCGGGACGAGTAAGTCACAACACCCGCGCGGGTCTGGCTATGTTGTCTTGCTCTTGTTGAGAGGTTTGCCTCCATTCATTATTGCAGACGCACTTGTGCTTTTGCTCGGCGTCACCCCAGCCTTCGGGACCGTTTCGCCAACATCATGCAAAGACGGTTCTCGGTACATGGCAACTGGTGGCAGGAGGAAGGGAGGAGAAAAGGGAAACAGTGCTTGGTTAGGTGCAGCCTGGACATGCACAGACCCCAGCAGCTTGCCTATTCTGTTTCCCCTGAGGGAAAGCCATTCTCCTGCAAGGGAATTCTTACTTTACAGCAGTAATTCCAGCCCACAAACAGAAGACAATACATCCCCACATTCCCTGGTTTTATACACCTACCACGTTTATGTGGGTAAACCAGGTAAGAGGGAAGACATTCATTCTTGGGGAAATGGGGTGGCTCAAGCATCCAACCCATGACCTTGATGTTTATGAGGCTGTGCTGTAACCGACTGGGCTAACTGGCTAGCTTCTAAGAGAAAAGGATTAAATGGGAGCTATGGTTTCTTGTAGGCCTATGATATAAAACACAAATACACCAAGTATTGGATAATGACAGCCATTTAACCTGATTTTCTTTGCACAGAAAGGAAAACTCAGACTTCCCTTCCACCGTGCATTCATGTCCACACTTGAACTCCTCATTCTGGTTCATCTTTTTGAGCCCAGATATTTATACCCTTGATAGAGTTTGGATGTGTTGTCCCCCAAAAGCCCATGCTGAAATCTGATCCCCAGTGTGGCAGTGTAGAGAGGTGTTTGGGTCACAGGGGGAGGATCTCTCATGAATAGATTAATGTCATCCCTGGTGGGGAGGGGCAGTGAGTGAGTTCCCACACTATTAGTTCCCGCCAGAGCTGGTGGTTTAAAGGAGCTGGCACTTCCCCTCTCTCTCTCTTGCTTCCTCTCGCCATGTGATCTGCTTGCACCTGCCAGCTACCTGCTGCTTTCCACCATGAGCAGAAGCAGCCTGAGGCCAGTGCCAGATGCAACTGTCCCAGAATTGAGGGCCAAATAAACTTCTGTTCTTTATAAACAACCTAGTCTCAGGTACTCTGTTATAGCCACACAAAAATGGACTAACACAACCCTATATCATTAAATTATTTTCCTTGCAAGTGGTTCAAAACCAACATAGTCACACTACTGTCAGCTTCAAAGCTACACAAAGCAATAACAAAGAACTCACTTCCCTTAAGCCCAGGCCTTCTGAAGATCACTGTTTTGATTTTTTTCCTCTCATAATTATGCAATATGACCATTAAACAACTGAAGGCAACTGTGTGGCATTTTATATTTTTTATGCCTTTTTCTGATATATTATTTAAAATCTAATAATTGATGTCATATAGAGCACAGAATGGCAAGACAGCAACTGAGACCAATGCCTGAGTAAACAGGAATTGTCTGAATAGTATCTGGTGACAGAATCACAACAGTACATGTGGCTTTTTAGAGAATGATATTAGTAGGACCTAGGAAAGGACATTTAAGAGTGACTAATGCTTGGGAAAAACTAGTCAAGTTAAAGTCATGTGCCTTTATGCAGGTGTGCTAAAGCTGCCCAACCTCCTTTTTAGGTTTTCAAAAGTTTAAGTTATGTTATGATGAAATCTTATGTTTAGTCAAGATGAATTACCATATGCATTTTTTATTTTCAAGGTGGTAGAATTTTACCTTTTGCATCAATTCATCATGTGATTTTTTTCAGCAACTCACATACTTAAAAGTGCAAATGTACATTGGGACAGTATTGAATGACTTGTCAAGGTAGTAAGGAACTAATCCATATTCTTGAAGTACATTCCAATCTCTCACTCCCACTAATAATTAAGTTAGGAGACAATACAATCAAAGCATTGACCTTGATTATCTATGTAGTAAAGTTGTATAAGAGAGATGAATGCCCTAGAGTAACAATAATTAATCAAATACCTAATTTGTCCTAACATTTTCAATAATACAATTTACATCCTGTATAGGTTTTGAAAGTTTGAAATTAATTTTCCTCTATTAAGTAAACTGTGATAACCTCTGTCATTATGGTACCTACACCTTACGTGTATTTAGAGTACTGCTAATTATTTGAAAACATGATGAAAAATACTGTTTCTCCTTCATATGTACATATACACACAACACATACAACAGTTCAACATATGAATGAAATATCAAGTGTTATTATTACGCCACACCATTAGAGTCTCAGATATTTCCTATGGGATATACAAAATAACTAGTTTCCAAATTTTACCTCAGTTAAGTCACATAAAAGCCTTTTTGGTTTTTATTATATTCATGTAGCTAAGAGGTAAGGTTTTAGAAATTTAGTCAATTCTTAACTGCCTATATTCAAAACAAAATTTGTGAAGAAACAAATCAAGGTAGCATATAAACTAAGGGCTTTGTAGAGCTACTATTAACTTAGTTTTTCATTTTTTATTTGCATTTGAATATTGGAGAGTCCGATGGTATCAAAATTCATTTAATACAATAAAGCCATATCATGAATGTGTTATCTGGGAAAAACTGAGCAACCCTCTAACTTCTGTCTACTCTAATTTTCCTTATGATTTACCGTATAATGAGAATAATCCACTCATATTTTATATTCTGTAATAGTTTATCCTTTCCCTGATAAAAATTAACAAGTACTGTGCTGCCTAATTTTTTGGGTTTCAATGAATTGTTTTAGAAGCAAATTTTATTAAGTGTGATAGTAAATCAACATGATTGAAATTATAAAGATGATATTTACCAAGACTGGTTTTCCAAACTTAGGCAAAACACTTAATTATATACTCACAGATAATAAAGAATTGACTATTCAAAATTTCAGATTATCTTATTCCTACACAGAGAATATGGATTATAAAACCAATATGCATTTTCACTTAATGGCTAAGGCTTTCCTTCAGGAATAAAAAACGAAAAGAAAATTGGACTGTCTAAGCTAGCTTAATTATTTACTCAGTTATTGTAGATCTGATCTTCTGCAAAAGACTATACAAAAACATTTGAATAGAAAACATTTTTGAATAGCCTCAAACAAAGGTTACATAGATAAAAATAAGTGACACTTCTGGCAGCATAATTAATAAGAAAGGTGCAGATATTTCTGATAAATTCACAAAACTTTGTAGCCTGCTCCGTGGGAGTCTGATCAGAGTAAACAGAAGGCTCCACTGTTTACAGGTGAATGCAGATAAATTATTTGTAAAAGTAGGTGGTGCCACAAATGTATACAGTGAACGGTTACTCAGTTTGCAAGGAGATATGTAACATCAACAAGTCCTTGAAGGGTCAAGTTATTATCTCTTCATTTTCTGTAATTATAATGTCTAAGCATGTAATTACTTTCACCTAGATAGCATTAAAATGGGCAAATACTTTTGATTTCATACTCAAAACTTATTTTTTTCTTTTATAATTATCATCATAGATTTGTAATAACATTACAGATTTACTTTTTTTAATTATTAAAAATTATGTAGGGGTTAGACTAGATGCGGTAGTGAGGATTTGAGGCTTTGGAAGGGGGCAAAGAAGTTTTTCCTACTTACCCATCCATCCCCCCATACATATATACAGTAAAGTATATAAAGAGTACAAATCTTAAATCAACAACTTAAGTAGACATCTCTGCAAATATCACCCAGAACACGATAAAGGACATTTTCAGTGCTCCATGAGGATTCCTTGTAGCCATGGTAGACTTATCAATGTGAAAAATGAAATGTGTAATGAGTCTGGTAAGGATAATTAATATGCACATAGTACTCACCTTCCAATGGCTTGGGTAGAAAATGAGCTGCTGGTTTGGTTTTCTTTACTCTGTTCCCTTTCATAACTTGTCCTTCCTTATTTAATCCCAAAAACCAGGCTCTACCAGATTCCTGTTGTCTGTACAGCATGGATGAGTAGATTACATAATAGTTTTCAAAAACAGATTCTTTAAACTTGCATTCAGGGGTAAAAAGTTCCTGTTGAGACAAAAGGAGGGGGGAAAGTCAGAGGAAGGAACGTCTTCACTGTGCTTTCTGTTCATTCTCTGGAAATGCATCCAACATGGTGAAAGTCATTCCTTCGGCAGGGACAACCAGGTATACCTCTTCCTGCACACAATAATAACTGTTCATACAATCTTTTTTCAAAACACAATGAATTGAGAAGAATTTACTGCTATTGGGAATATATATAGGCCAAAGTATGGATGCCCTTTAGTAAGAAAATAGAAGACATGAGCAAACCCAATAGTTTTACTTAAACATCATACAACTCAATCAGAGTACAATCAGAAAGGGAGCATTAAACATAGCATTGTATCACACACACAAAAATAATAAAATACACACGTATAACATTTTATAACCTATTTGACATATTTCCATAGGAATAATTATATAAAACCCTAACAGTTGCCAGATATTACTTGGATGGCTGATATTATAAGGTGATACATTTTACCTACAAAGAAACAAACTGAAACCATGCCAGGCAGCTGGCACACAAGCTAGCCACTGGAACTATTGCTGTATAACCAGCTGAGGCCAGGTGTCATACTAGCTGGTCATAGTGACAGTAGCTGACAATAATTAGTTAATTCCATGGTTTGGAGCCCCACTGGAACTCTTGAAGATAAACATCAAAAGCTATCCTGACTTAAAACCACCCAGTATTTCTGGAAAGAGTATGGTCTATTAAATACTATTAGGCTCAATGCCATAATCTACATTGATTGAGGAGTAGCTTACTACTTTATGATTATCATGAATAACACAAATATGCATAGATGATTTTTATATACTTTGAAAATTCTTACACTGGAATTAATAATGATGAATATAATGCCATGCATATTAATAAAAAATTTATAAGGGTGCAACCTACCTATTCATTTTGATAGCCGTCTATTAGAAATAATTTTAAAATTCAACCTTCCTAGTTATAGACCATAGAAAACACTTAACTAGTTTTTGTGGCTGTTTTAAATAGGCTCAACACTATACTATTCTACACATATATGAAATATAGATGCAAAACACAGCTTTATGGCCACTGACCTTTTTAAAAATGTCACTGTACTCAAAAAACCCCCAAGTTTTTCATTTCACTTTAATAAATTTTGTCATTGCAGAAAATAGTTTTTGTTTTCCTATTTAAAAAAATACATATTCTGGGCCGGCCCGGTGGCGCACTGGATAGTGCGCCGCTTGGGAAGCCCGGCGGCGCTCCCGCCCGAGGGTTCAGATCCTACATGCGGACCGGTTCCCGCTCACTGGCTGAGCGAGGCGCGGGAGCAACGCCGAGGGTTGCAATCCCGTTGCCGGTCCCCAGTCCGGTACGGGGGCAACACTGAGGGTTGCAATCTGTTGCCGGACACGGAAAAAGTCAAAAGACAAAAAAAAAAAAAAAAAAAAAATATTCTGAAAAACACAGCCTTTTAGGGCCTAAAAAATAAAACCTTAAAGAGTTGAATCTAGCTAACTATAATAAGACATGTGATGTAATTGCATGTAGATATTTTCTTTCGGTATTTCCCATAAGAGTGAGAATTGTCAAATGGTGTCTTTTGCAGTATACAACTTATTCAGCATCCTCCATAACTTTTAACTAATTCACTGAGAGTTAATAGTTTTCCAAGGAGAATCGGTTTTGCTAATGGCAGATGCTTTTCACGACAAAGATGACAGATAGCCCCCTCCCAAGGAATTTATGTAGATATTCATTTCTTTATTCCCTTCTTTACCAATTGAGCTAACTGGCCAGCCCTGTTACTCATTGTTTCTAGATGGTGCTACCTCAGGTTCGAGTAAGAGCCCATCCAATAAATTTTCCAGCCTTCCACTAAGTTCTACTTCTCCAAATATCCTCCTATCAGTTCTTTCACTAATAGTCTCACTGAGTCAATGTCCAGAACCTCCCTCAGAGGACAACTGATAAAATGGTGCACGTTCACACGCTTGTGGCGAGGAAAACAAAATAGAATGCTATAAATCTGGCTTATCCCCAAGAGACTAATACATCTAATATATTGATTGAAACTACACCATCTAAGACAGATTAGACTTTGGCATGTCACTTGTCTTTATAAAGACAGGCCAAAGCATCCAAGCATATTATTCACTAGTGAAAACCTGTCTTAAGACAAGCTAGGAGTGGGTAAGAGCTGGCCTGGCAGGTCACTCATTGCAGGTCACAGAAACTGGCACCTGCTTCTGGGGCATCAGGTCTCTGCCCAGAGCCTGGCTCAGGATAGTGAGGGGCTCACTGATGCCTGTCATTTATCTACAGACACCAGGCCTCCAACTGTGGAAATATAGACCCGCAAGATAGTCTAGCCCTCCTTCTCATCTGGTCACCATATGTCCATATTTGCCATAATGGACAAAACGTGGCAGTCACTGCTTGCACCCCAGAAGCAAGTTAGGAATGTACTGTCTTTACTCTGGATTGACTGAATCGAATATAAAAGAGAATGGAGACCCTTGATGTGGAAGTAATTTATTCTCAGTTGATACCTTAAGGACTTCTGACACTGCATCTTTGCGGATAAAATGCTTGCATCTTCGGAGTCTAAGGGAGTCAGTTCCACACCCCTTTCTGTAAGCTGTGATTCTTTCTGCCTTGCACAACTGAGAACCATTGTCTTCACCTGCTTGTGATGGTGGAGACTGGCTGTTACATTTTCAGCCTTCCTCATTCCTGGCTAAATAATTAATGTGCACGCACACACGTGTTACATTCAAAGTGCGATTGTCTGGTTCATTTTCTCGAAACTTTTCAAGAACTTAATCTGTTCCTCAAATATTGGAGCCAACATAATCCCAGCATTCTCAGAAGAACTGATAGAGCTAATGAAAGTTAAGGTTAGTTACCATTTATTTGGTGTCATCATTGATAAATACACTTCCAATTTGTAAACAGGAGGCAATGGATCACTAGAATGATACCTCCAGGGATTATTAGCACTGCACCTACTCCTTACCCACACACTAGCTGTGTGTCTTTGGGGACACACATTACTCAGTCTCTTTGGGTTTCCGTTTCCTTTAGGACAAAAACCATAAGATAATAAAATATTGGGAGGATTGAATGAATTAATATATTTTACATATTTAGAAGAGTTTGTGGCATATAGAAAGCACTCAATAATTGTTCTTCAAAAAGTTTCCCATTATTTATAGTAAAAATACACCCTACATCAGTTATTTCAATTCTATCAAGATAGTAGCAAATCAAAATTCAGCTAAATAATTAGTCAATGAGCATAGTCTTATAGCAAATATTGGCCTCAGTACCAGATACACAAAAATGAATAAGATTAGTCACTCATTTCATTGGAAACAACAGTAGAGTGTAATATTTGTTATGGTAGACTTACCTTTAAGATACTAGAGTGGTTATAGGTGGAATAAGAGGTATTGTGAAAAGACAAGAGATGGAGAATGCCATGGTACCCTTGGAGAACTATGGTTAGTTTATCACTGAGATACAGACTTGGTGAGGCAGAAGTAGAGAATATTGTGGGTGAAAAGTTCAGTTGAAGAAGTGTGATAAGGGCCAAGCCCGTGGCGCACTCAGGAGAGTGCAGCGCTGGGAGTGCAGCAGCGCTCCCGCCGCGGGTTCAGATCCTATATAGGGATGACCGGTGCGATGCGCTCACTGGCTGAGCACGGTGCGGCTGGTCACAAAAAGGACAGAAAAAAAAAAAAAGTGTGATAAAGAGCCTTGCACATTCTGATAACCAAATTAGACCTCCTTGAATAAACAAGGGAATAAGGATAAAAACTGCTTAGTATTTTATAAATACAAATCTGTTGCCAATATGAAGGATGGTTTTGAGAAGTTGGTAACACTTCTACACTAATGTTTGAAAGCCCAGTCTCCCACAAAATAGACTTGAAAATTGTAGAACATGCTGATGTGTGTGTTCACTTTAATAGTTAGTATTAACATAATAAAGAACTAAGAACACACAAAGTAAGGAGAGAAATACTACCAAAATTATGACACATTATTAAATTGAGCTCCCAATTTTCTGGTAGCAAGGACAAAAGAGAAAGACTATATGTTATAAAAATTATTCAAGAGATAATTTTTTTCTTTTTCTTTGCACTAACTTCTAAAAGGTAATTCCTCACAAGGGTCCTATAAAAGTGACATTGACAATCACGAACAACTATGTGCTTGACAGTAATTTTACAAATGATACAGTCATAGTTTTGTGTTTGAATCTTAACAATATGCTTTAGTGAGCTTATTGGATTGAAAACGTCCAATAGGTGGAACTATTTAAACTCCCATAGGTGGAAATAATTGCAATTGACAAGATCCCTAAGGATCATGTGCATAGCAGGAGCCACGAACTCAAATGCTTATAATAACCTGGCAGGTGCAGGAGTGAAGCAAACTGTTGTAATCATGGCACAGTTGTTAAGGGACGCCCCAACCCCTACTGACCTTAACATATGCATTCTGCTTCTGTACAAGTCGCTTGCTAAAATAAATGGGGGAATAAACAGAGTAGCATGGCCAATGCCATTTTAGGCGGCTCTGCCATTTTAGCCTGAAAAGTCCCTATGTGGAATCCAGGGTGGGGAGGGGCTACAGGGCTACCCACAAAATTAGCTTATGTATCACTGGCTTGCTTGCATTGGCTAGATTGTGTCAGGTGCCAAAAATTCCCGCCTAGCTAAAAATAAAAGCTGCGAGAGGTTTCAACTCGGGGCTGTGCTCCTCGATTGGCCTGCGTAGCCCTGGCTGCCAGAAATAAACTCTTTTCCTTTTCCTATCACCCAGTTCTCGTGGGTAAATTTCTTTTACCTGTTGGACGTTGGCCATAACACAGTTACAAGGATAAATGGCCCTTGACTCAAGCTCTGTGTTGGGAAGACAACGAAAGTGGTGGATACAATGGTAACAGAAGCAGCTGCTCCGCACATGGTCCTCATGTGAAAATAAAAACCCCAGCTCTTTAGTA